AATATTTATGCTATAAATATTAAACTAACAAAGTATAAATTTTATCACTTAATTACCAAGAGAGTTAAAAAAACTTGCTCATCAAACAAATATTCACTTTCTACAAAGAACTAATAAAAGATTAAAATAATAACTTATAATACAAAAAAAAAGAAGTTTATATAGTACAATTTTTATTTTACCTATATTTATTATGAATCATCTAATTGTCTTACAACAATTTCATCTATATTATATTCACTTTCTCCATCTTCTTGCATATCATTATTATCAGACTTATCTCTGTCAAGGTCTTCGAAACTTGCTCTAGAATGTGCATACATAAAAACTGTGGATTGAAGATCAATAATATTTGAAATTTTTAAATTTAAATTTGGCTCATCTGAATAAAGATCTTTACTAGAATTAGACAATTCAACGTTATCATCATCTAATAATATTTCCTCATCCAACTCTTTAAAAACACTTTTTACAATATTTGCCATTATTTCAGAACTTATTTCTGCAGTATAAATATGATGAAGTTGTTCTGCAGGATTTGATAAATTATATCGATAAATTTTTGCTAATCCTTCTAGTCAATTTACTTCTAATTGAGTTCATTTGTTTCCATAAATCCATTCTAATAATGAAAATATTCATTCACAACTGGCTGAACTTGATGTAATAGAAAAAGTTTAATAGCTAAACATTGTAAATAGTTAGGCTTAATTTCACAAGTATTCTACTACATTAATAGTGTATCATTACCAATTCGATAAGGAGTGGCATAGGGGTTAGGTTTTCATTTATATACTGTTCTTGTTCTTTATAAAATCGTAAATGTGTTATTAAAGTTTCACAACTTTTTTTTGATTTACCTATCTGTTGCTATAATTTTCCAGCATAATTTGCAATTAAAGGAAATGTGCTAAATTTTAATCCAATACCTTTATAAGCCAGATGCAGAAAATATGTAAGATAATAAATCAGATCATTAAATTCTTCAAATTAATTATTAAATTTTGTAATACAATAATTGTGAAATCCTTTTTACTTATTAGAAGAAAGATTTTAAATTGCTGCTACAATTTTCATCAAATTAATATAGCAGTCAGCAAGTATAGCATGATTCGATTCTACTGCTAAAATTGCATTTCTTATTGGAAATAAAACTTCTGAAAAATATTGTATATCAGTAAAAAAATCTTGACCATGAAGAATTGTTAAAATTGTAGGACTAATAATTTCAGAATAATTTTCTTGAATTTCTTTTAAACAGGTTTTAAGTTGCACAATTGAAGAAATACATTCATATACACTAGTCCATCTTGTCTCAATATATGTTTTAAAACCACTGCTATTAATTTGATTTTGTATAATCATTTGATTTAAAATAGCTGCAGCCCTATGTAATTTTTTAAAGAATTTTACAATTTTGCTAGCACGTTGAATCATTCTTTCTGCAAAAGTATGCTTAATAATATCCTTACTATTCAAATTAAAATAATAAGTAATGCATCGAATATTCATAATATTTTTATATTTTGAACAAATTATACATCGTGCAGCTGCTATATTGGCTCCATTGTCACTAATAATTGCTAAAATTTTATCACCACCAATACAATTAATAATTTTTTCAATTTGATTAGCTAAAAATTCTGCCATATGAAATTGGTTAGAATAATTTTAAAGTTCATAAAGATATTCTTGTCTTGATAGTGTCATAATAATAAAATTCCAAATAGATAATCTATTATGAGCAGTCCAACCATCAATACCAATACTAAGATTATTAGTATGATCCAAAATTTTATCAACTTTATTAATAATTTTTGCAATTTCAGTATCTAATAGATGTCCAGAAAGAACTTCACATAATGGAACTTCATAGCCAGCATTAAGAAGATTTAGAGCATTTATAAAAAAAGGGTTGCTAATTACACAAAAAGGAATACTACACATTATAAAAGCTAATACTATAGCTTTATCAATTATTAATTGCTTAGATGGTTCAATTTTTGTAGAGTTATACCAATTAGTTATATCGGGTTGTTTAGCTATTTTTTTTTGCTTAACTAAAGGTGAGACAGTATTTGACATGCTATAAAAAGGTTCATCAGTTAGAATATCTTTTAAATTATTAACTATAATATAATTAAAATGATGGTGTCACTTTTCAGGAACCTTTTTACAACTATTAGCTAGATGTGCACGCAATGTATGTGGTTTTGCATGTGGATAAAATTTTTCACAAAATGAGCAGCTTCCTTCCCAATAACTATTACCTTTTTATGAACCTTTTTCAAAGAATTTTCAAACACCTGTTGGTGGGCATCCTGCTTTTGCACTACTAGAGGCTCTAGATGCTCTAGAATCTGTTTCTGTATTACTTGAAACTAATTTATTTTGTTTTTGTTTTTGTTTAGTCATTTTTGAAGAATTAAGATATTTTAACACAAAATATGATTTTTTATATGATTAAAATATTTGATTTAAATACTTGTTTATTACTAGTTAAGTGTTTTTTATTGTTATTTCATTTTTACTTTTAATAATTAAATACATTTATAATATTATCAGTCAGAGAAGATGTCACGCTGACTGATTTTATATAGTAACATTACACAAGAATTTTTTAAATACTATTCAATCGTGCAAAGAAAAACCTCAAAACTCTCTAAATATTCGACCTTCAAG